GAGCAGACTGTGCCCTTCCCTTTTCCCTCATCTGATGCCTCCTCATCTCCAGATCCCAGCAAATGACTCAGCTTAGCGTCAGTCCCTCGGGGCAGCCTTCCCTGAGGCTGAGTGAAAACGCTCCATGGCAGAGCCTTCCAGAAGTTTCCAGGCCTCCATTTACCTATTGTTCCTGGCTCCCAGTAGACCCTGGGTGACTCCTTTGGTGGAACGACACCTGGTGGTGGATCTTGGGGTCCCTTAATAGATCCTGCATGTCTCTTTCACTTTGGAGCGAGTTCTGCTGCGTGCCACGCAGAGCCCCAGAGCAGAAGGCGCGCACCTCCCTGGCATGGAGGGCCCCGCACCACAATCCTTGAACTTGGGCTGAACCCTGCTCAGGAGCATCATCCTGGGAAAAGAAACTGCATTTGCATCGATTCTCCGCACAGCCATTCTCTTTAGGGCCATCCATTGTTCCTTCTTGACATGGGGCCTGGGGAGCAGCGGCACCCCCCTTGCTCTCTATGTAAATACAGGCTCCTTGAAGGATATTTATTGGCCTGCAGAAAAGATGCAGGGGAATTTTGCTCTCTAGGTGAGTGATAAAAAAGAGCAGCCAGCGGATATGTTCACCAGCTTATTTACCACAAATCTCTTATTTATGGCCCCATAACCTTCTGATGGCCCAGTCCCCCACCCCCACACACACACACCTGGTTTTCTTCCCAGATGGAGAAAGTGCTGAGCCAAAGACTCTTTGTCCAAGGTTCCCCTCTGCCTCTTAGTTTCCACAGCTGGAGCTGGACCGATTCATTTCCCTGTGACCCAGTGGAGGTCTGAATCTCTTGCTGCCAAACACATTGGACTTATTATGGTCTGGCCGGTGGCTTGTGAGGTCCATATTAAGCACCTACTGTGCCCAGCACTGTGGATGGTGTCAGAAACAGAGAGGAAGACGCTTTTATGTCTTTCCCTTGGGCCTCTTTATTCCAGCCTTCTAATGACACCTGAGCACCTCCCCGCCAGTCACGGCACTGGGCATGTGCTACACTCAGCTGACCCTCTTCATGATCCTGTGAGGATGCAGCATTCCCCAAACCAGGCAAATCATAGACTCCAGAAGCCCCTGTTTATCCATCACTCAGTAAGAGGAACTATGCCACCACCCAGCTCCCCAGTTGGATAGCCTCCTAGAGTCCCCCAGAATAAGCAGCCCAGGTTCTGCTGCTGGTGCCTCCTCCCCACCTGTCCTCCTGTCCTCCGGATGCCACCCTGCCTCACCTCTGCCCAGCCCAGCTCCTGCCACCCCAGGCTGGCATTGCTGCCAAACAGGCCTCCTGGGCTCAGATGTCCAGCTGCTGATTGATTCTTCTCTGTGGTTCCCTGAGTGCTCTTTCCAAGGCACACGCTGACCAGGTCCCTCTCCTGCCAAATTATTTAAATGAACCCCTGACACCCACACAGAAACATCCAAACTTTTGGGGGCAATCAGAGCACCATCTTTGATGAGCAGGCCTGTCTTCGATGTCCCCATTCACGGGACTCAAAGTGCCCACCCTACTGGAGCCCGTGTGGTCCTCTGCTCCCACCTAGCTTGTTCTGGCCTGTCTGCCTGAGCACCTGCTGGTCCTTCACCCTGCATGCCTCCCTGCTTCTCCCCGTAACCCCTGTGAGGTTGTGGAGGCTGACAGTCTCCCCCCGTGAAGTCTCTTGCAAGGACATGTGTCAGTGGATTTAGGATCCACAAGATAATTCAGGATAATCTTTTCTTAAGATTTCTATGCTAATTGAGTCTGCAAAGACCCTCTTTCCAAATAAAGTCACACTGATGGTACCATGTCAAAAGACATGTCCAACCCATTCGAGGGCCTCTTCACGGTATTCCCACAATCTGAGTGAGACTCCTCCTGGCCTTTGCCCTCACCTCACAAGGAGTGAATGGCCCTGGACATTGAGCTCCTGTGGGCTAGGGTTTTCATTTCTTTGTCCTGGCACCTGGCCTAGGCCTGGCTCATGGACACTCAAAAACAATGAATGAGTAAATGGAAGAGTTAGATATTGTCTCCTCATTTTGCTAAAAAACCAAAACAACCCAGAGTCTTGTGAGGGAAACAAGATGGGCCTAAGGCCATGAAATGAATGATGAGGGAACCAGGAATCTACCTCCGGCACTTTGGTCTGGGGTCTTTTTCTGGGAACCAGCCACACTACCCCAGCTGGGACCAGAGGCCCCTCAGAATGTCTCTCCTTCCACAGAGTAGAAACTGAGGAAGGTCCCCCATCTCCCCCAGCCCCTGCCCTCGCTCGCTCCTCCCTTCACGCCCGGTTCTCCCCGACCAGAAACACACGCTTGCCTTGACGCGACTGTTTGGGGAGAAAAGTGGTTCCCCGTTTGGTGGATTTCCCAAAGGTCCTGGGGGCCCGAGGGAACAGATCCTGGGAGTCTCAGTATGCCAAGGCTGTCCAGCTGGGAGGCCAGAATTGTGTAATGCCAGAGTTTCCAGGGGACATAGTCCCCAGAGGATCGGGTACTCAGCAGGGGCTGAATCCCTGCCGTGACCCCTGATCCCAAAGACAGGGCATCCTTCCCTCACGCGCATCCTGGGCAGGGCATGAGGCGCATCCCATAGGGGAGAAGCACGTGGCGCCGAGATGGAACAAGTGGCTCCAGGGTCAAAGTGAGCCTGAAGCAGAGGCCAGTCACACCCGGGAGACCCACTGCAGCGGCACTAGCAGGTGACCTCTGGGGGAGGGGCCACCCTGTGTGCGAGGCCCGTGGCTGGCTGTCAGCTGAGACATCACCCATGTGGAGAAGGTTCCCCAAACACACACGCTAGCTTCTTCTGTGACTTGTTGTGGTCCAAGAAACTCTCCCCGTCACCCTGCACTCATTATAAGGGTTGCCCAAGGGACAGTGAGTACACCACTGCCCCCAGCCCATCCCCACCACAGGGTTTTCTCTGGCTTGCTGGAAACTCCTTTTCTCTCAGCCTCTACGGAGGGCCTCCCTTGCTTTTGACATGAGGTCAGCCGAGAACAACTAGAGGGGTCTTGAGCAGAGAGCCAGAGCCAGAGAAGCCACGCCTGTCTAATGGCCCAGGGGACGTCACTCAGCCTCCTTCAACAGTTTCTGAACAGGAACAACCAGAACAGCAATACCCTACTTCACTGCAAAAGTTCACTGAACAGGGGTCCCCCATGTGCGGGTCCCACCATGTGCCATAAAGAGCAAGAGGAGCTTTTTTCCAGCTGTCCAAGAGCTTAGTCCTCTGATGAGTTCATGTCACTTTATAGGTGATGCTGCAGAGGCACAGAGAGGCTAAGGACTTGCCCAGAGGTGCATAGCCCTGAAGTAGAAAGGAAGAATCCAGATGGTGACCTACTTCTCTGCCAAGTGCACATTTCATTCGGTTGTTTTAACCAGATGCCGAGCACCGGACTGGTTGAGCACAGTTTGTTGAATGGAGAACAAGAAGATGGATAGAACAAGGCTCTCACATTCTGGGGGACGGGCACAAATGTCCAATTGCAATATGGTGAGTGTGAGTGTGTGTGTGTGTGTGTGTGTGTGTGTG